AATATTTTATATATATATATATATATATATACTTTATATATTATATAAAACTTTAAAAAAAAAAATCAGCCAGCTAGATGCCAAGGCAACAATTTCTCATTTTCATTTAAAGTACTAAAAATGTCATTTAAAATACTAAAAAGAACTAAAAATGTACTAATTTATTTAAAACTAACAATGAAAAATGTAATAAAAACTATACAGATATATACATAAAAAAGAAACTAATAAAAATGACAAAACCAGAACAAAACACTAAAACTTTGACTACAATTTAAATGAAAACAAAATAGAAAAATAAAATCCAATTCAACAAACACAGTTGGGATGTGTTATGCTCAGAAGTTTAATATTGGTGAAACACAAATTAAAAAGAGCAAATTAGATACTTGAAAAAACATGCAATTATGAAATGAGCTTTTTTGTTGTTTATTTTTTTTTACCTCAAAACAATGTAATCAGTAAGAAAACATGCAAAAGAGTACAAAATCATTCACTCATAAATAGAGAGTATATTATAAATCATAATCAAATATTAATAATAAGAGAGGGGAGGTTAAACGAATCAATAAAAGTTAAGTGAATAAATACACCGTCATATCTGAAAATACACAATCTACAGTGTTTATCAAATCAGAAATGTATTTAGGTGTCATAGCAGAGCTGTAGCTCTATGATATTGAATTATGATAAAATACTGTAATTAATAGACTTATTAACAGGCTCTACAGCACAGGAGGTTTTTCGTGAGCTCGTCTCTCTATAAGTCTGAGCAAATTAACACAAATACTGGAGATACTGTACAGTGCCTATATAGAGAGTATTTACAGAACTAATCTGCTGGAATTGAGGTTTCAAACAACTGATGACTATAATATTTGAATAATACTGCTGCAAAAGATGTTTGGCATGTGTTGATCTACCTTAATATATAAGATAAAACGTCTCAAAACAAGGGTCACCTGACTGGAAACATTGGCACTGGAAAAGAGCAAGTTTATGAGAAATTTAAACCTTTAACCCCATCCTGAACCCTGAATAATGAATTAATGGAAAAAGACACAGATTACTAAGAAATAAAGCCACTGATTCACTGGATCTCACGAAGGTTATAATTCACAACAAGTCCAGTGAATGAATTTTGATAGTTTGGCAAGGGATGAGGACGAGCGGTTTGAGTTGAACTGTAGGATGTGCTCGTTTAAGAATGACAATGTCATTTACTTACCCTCATGTTTTTCTGTAGGACACAAAAATGAGATGTTAAGATTCTTTAAGAAGAAAAGAAAGCCTCATACCTTTGGGCTGCACAAAATTTTTTTTCAAATTCAAATTTGAAATTTGTGGTTTAAAATGCTATTTTAAACTATTTTGACTGTTTGTAGGCGTGCACAATTTGGCGAAAAATTTGTTAAATCATTAAGCTTTTATTTGGGCAGAAAAGCAAAAAGAGCCTTTAAAGCTCCTTTTTTGCAGACAACAGCTAGTTTATAAGTGCTTCTCTTAAATTCTCTTTTCCTGACATATATTTAATTAAATCGCAGACTTTGCGATTTTATAATCGCACTAAGCAATATCACGATTTCAGCTAATCAAGCAACCTTCCTCAAACGAGTTTGGAACAACATGAGGGTGAGTAACCATGAACTCTGCCATTAAATGTGACCTTTGACCTGTGATTTACATGTAAACGTGGTGTGTCTCATGTCCAGCGGCAGCGTTTCCTCTGGTACGTCTCGAGCTCTGAAGAGAAGTCATCCGAGTCACTCTCAGAGGTGGAGTCAGGCCATAAGGAGGCATGGCCTGGTGGAGTGTAGGAGGAGCATAGAATGCAAGAACCGGTGTGTTCCGGTTTACACACAGAACTGGCATCATTTCCCTTACAGCCGTCACTGGAAGCAGATCCCGGCGAGTCGCAGCAAGGACAGGAAGCAGATACCTGCTGGAATTTAGGGTCAGGGAGGGAATTGTGGTCAGGGCTGGAGGCAGAGCCACAGAAGAGGTCAGAAGGTGAGGGGAAATCGAGGTAACAGGTAACATCCATTATGGAGACGGTTTCTTGATATTGTGCATCATCTGGAGAGGAAGTAGGATATATGGAGGCAGAATCAAGAGGCTCATCTTTACCGCGGTAAGAGCCAGGGTTATCAGAGAAGGAACTAGAAATAAAGACGCGTTCAGTGTCAGAGGGATTGTGGGAAGGAAAGGGGCTCATGTATTCATCATAGTCGCCATCTTCTGTTTGTGTGGCCTTGTCTTCCCTGTTGTGTGCGCAGGCGTCTGCGCAGCCGAGGGTCAGCACCCATCCCAGCTGCTTAGACAGCAGCGGACGCAGACCCGGCGGCAGTGGCAGCACGTGCAGAGCGTCTGCGCAGTTGGGCAGCATTTTGCGCAGCTGCATGCAGCACAGGTACTGTAATGTTGTGGGCGCAGAATGTGAACGGATCAGTTTCATGCTGCTCTTGGCCGCAGTCGAACACACCATCGGATACAGACGCTTATTCTGCAAGTGAGTAGCTGCTATGCCTGACAGAACCAAAGATAGATAGATAGATAGATAGATGGAGATGAAAAAGGAAGAATAAGAAAGATTGTATTGTATACATTCATGCAGGACAGGAAAGAGTGCATGCATGTCTTACCGATGCAGCGGCGGTTCTTGTAGAAGCTCAGGGTGCCGTGCCAGCTGTCCAGATGAACCCCGATTATGGACCCTTGACCGAACCGTGATGAAAAGTTCACCTTTGACCCCTTATGGTGCAAGTGACCTGACCCATGATAAATGTAGATGAAGACAGAGTTAAAAACACATAAATACGTCTAATGATTTTTGGCGTGTCTGGTCCCCTCTTTGGAATTTCCTTGAGAATGTTTGTTGATTGTCTTTATTTCTTGACTCTTGTTTAGTTTGGTGCTATTGCCCTTCACTCGACTCTTGAACTACCATTGTATGACTGTATGATGGATTGTATGACAGATGACTGTATATACTGCCTGAGACACCTGTACCACGGTTTTGTTATTGTAAAACTATAAAAACAAAATAAATAAAAAAACAATGAACAATGTGGGATTGGTCATTTTTTTATGTTTTTGAATGAAGTTTCTACTGCTCTCCAAGGCTGCATTTATTTGATTAAAAATACAGTAAAAACAGTAATATAGTGAAATAATATTACAATTTCAAATAACCCCTTTCTATTTGAATATATTGTAAAATGTAATTTATTCCGGTGATCAAAGCTGAATTTTCAGCATCATTACTGCAGTCTTCAGTGTCACATGATCTTCAGAAATCATTCTAATATTATTATCAGTAATGAAAACAGTTGTGCTGCTTCATATTTTTGTGGAAACCATGATACATTTTATTTTTCAGGATTCTTTGATGAATACAAAGTTAAAAATAACAGCATTTATTTGGAATAGAACTCTATTATAACATTATAAATGTCTTTTACGTCACTTGTGATCAATTTAATGTGTCCTTATTAATAAAAGTATTAATCTTACTGACCTCAAACTTTTGAATTGTAGCGTATATCTAAAATGACATATAATGGATCTTTTTTTATACACAGACATGCAGGTTTTTTCATGTATTTAAATGAATAATACTGATTTAACTGAATAGAATGCAGGGGTCACATGACCTCTGACCTCACCTGTGTAGGACAGACCCCAGCTGTCCTCATCTGTGCCCAACAGACTGCAGAAACTATGTTTGAACTGATCCAGGTTCACTTCTGATGTCCCGACACCAACCATCTGTACTCGTATAAACACACAAAATACATCCACTCTTACTAAGACTTCATAAAACATACTTATTATTAACATTGTTAATCTTATCTTGATATATGGTCAGTATTGTAGTTTAGTGTCTTTGTACATCCAGTCCATAGACTGTATAAAAACATGGACGTAGTGTCCGTGACGTCACCCGTAGATTTCCGAAGATAGTTTTTGAAGCTCAAAAGTGGGCGGAGGCGGCCGTCGCCATCTTGGCAGCGCGTCACCGCGCGTCACTCCCGGATAATCGAAAATGGGCAAAGAGGCGGGAGCAGGTTGCTGAAGCCACGCCCACCTAGCTCGACGCCGGTGACAGCAGCGGCAATCCACCTGTCACTCAAGTGGCCACGCCCTTAATTATGCAGAACTTTAAGGCTTAATATAATTTAAACGGATGAGTTATAAAAAAATTCACCCGCCTCACAGTTGTCATGAAGGGCAAAATTAGCTATATAGACCAAAATAATTTTTTGAACCAGGCTGTAAACATGTTTTTTTCTGCTGTAAAGTTGAGCATTTTAACATGGGGAGTCTATGGGATTGACTCCCTTTTGCAGCCAGCCTCTAGCGGCCAGTTGATGAATTACAGTTTAAGTCACTTCCTTGTTGGCTTCACGAGAGAGAGCGGGAGGTTGCCGCTTGATCCAGTCACCGTATCCAAAGCTCGTATAGTTTTGAATGGGGAAAAATGCAATGCTCAATATGGCCGCTCAACCGTATCTCACCATATCTGTGCCGTAGACGGGAGATGTCATCTTGATTTCCCAGAAGTGCTGTCCGTCGCTGAGAGGCTTGGCTCCCCTGATGGCGGCGGTTCCACAGCTGTACTCCGAGTGGAAGATCACCTTCCTCCGGTCAGAGCAGCTCAGAGACACCGAGGATGATTTGCTCTCCTCGTCCCAAACCCAATCACACCCTTAACACAATGACAAACACAAAGAACCATGATTTCAAATCTTCATTGTGGAAAAACACAGCATTATTCAATTATTATTATTTTTTTTTTATTATTAAATGGCAGTATTTTCCTACTGTTCTGTAGCTGACTGTTTATAAGTAGGTTGATTTTTTCACATAGCAGTTGCATTTTTGATGAGTTAATGCTTTTCTAATCGAATAAAATCGGCAGTGTGTTGTCTCTTATGTCAAAAATGTATAATTAATTATTTAATTGAAATAAATTCTTATTCTGAAAATTTTTTTACTTAATTAAAAAATATTTTTGGTTCATTTCTGACCCTTTTTATAATGTTTTAAAACAATATTCTTAGATGTTTGTATTTCTAATGTCTACTTTTAGTTATTTGGATATAAACCAAATGGATTATTCTATACTTAAGACTGCATGTCATAGTTAAAGATCATAAGTGCTTTGTGATATAAATGGATGGATATTTTTTAGCTATTTATTTTATTTACACTACCGTCCAACAGTTTGTGGGGTCAGTAAATATTAATTAATTTAAATATTTTTGAAAGAATTCTCTTATGCTCATCAAGGCTGCATTTATTTGATCAAAAATACAGTAAAAACAGTAATATTGTAAAATATTTTTACAATTTAAAATAGCCATTTCGTATTATATTTTAAAATGTAATTTATTTCTGTGATCAAAGCTGAATTTTCAGCATCATTACTCCAGTCTTCAGTGTCGCATGATCTTCAGAAATCATTCGAATATGATGATCTGCTGCTTAAGAAACATTTCTTTCAGGATTCTTTGATGAACAGAAACTTCAAAAGAACAGCCTTTATTTGAAATAGAAATCTTTTTTAACATTGTAAATGATAATTTTTATCAATTTAATGCGTCCTTGCTGAATAAAAATCTCACTGACCCCAAACTTTTGAAAGGTCATGTATGACAAAGTGCAAACCACATTTCTCAAGTCAGCTCCGTATGCTGTTTTCTGTTTTCTTTAGTGTCCAAATGCTTGATGAAATGTAATGAATCTCACCCTGCTCTTCCTCTCCGCAGGTGCAGCTGAGGGTGTAGGGGCTGATCTGGGCGTCTGAGCTGAGCTCTGTTTGAGCTGGACACTGGCAGAACGACTCGCCCGTCACGGGCACCACCGGCGGCAGCTCCGCTGGCACACACACCGTCACCGGCTCGTACTCCGACTGACCACACAAACAAAACCAGACAATGATGACAGAAATGTCCAGGCTATATTTTAAAATCAAAAGAAATTACTAATAAATTATATTTTTCATTAAGAAAAAGAACAAAGTCGGTTTTATACCCATCAAGATGTGTGATTATCTTCATGTGTGAGAAGCTGATTTAAAGCAGTCACTGTAAACCGTTCATTTGAGACTCTGATTGGCCGGTTGCCCAGGTAATGTAAAATTAGTGCTAGTTAGCTCAAAATAACCCGACAGAAATAAGCAGAGCTTGTAAGGACAGAAGTCACGCTCACCTGTGATCCCACAGCCTGCTTCTCTTCTGGGCCGAGGGTCGTCGTGAGGGGTGTGGCTTCAGTCTCCGGGACATTCTCACTAACAACATACTTATTCCCAGACATTCCTGGAACACAAGAACAGAATGAGGCTATTATTTTTTACATCCATCC